AGAAGGAAACAACAGATCCAATGGAAATATATCAAGCAGAAGAACCAGACCAGTCAAGACAAATAATGGTCATACAAAATGATTGGAGACAAACATACATTGATTTTATCAAAGAAAAGAAACTACCCGAAGACAAAGCAGAAGCAACCCGGATTATACGAAGAAGCAAAAACTACGTCCTAGTGGGAGACAAACTATACAAAAGAGTAGCATCATCAGGAGTACTACTTAAATGTGTTCCAACAGATAAAGAAAAGGAAATCTTGGATGAAATCCACTCAGGATGTTGTGGAAATCATGCAGCCTCTAGGACACTAGTCCGCAAAGCATTCAGAACCGGATTCTATTGGCCAACAGCACTTAAAGATGCAGAAGAGCTCGTCAAAACATGCAAGAATTGCCAAATGTTTGCCAGGCAATCACATGTGCCGGCTCACAACTTAATATGCATACCGCGGGCTTGGCCCTTCTCATGCTGGGGGCTGGATCAAGTCGGACCACTCAAAAAAGCAAAAGGAGGCTTCAAATACATATTTGTGGCAATCGACAAATTTACAAAGTGGATTGAATACAAACCTCTAGTCAAATACAGTGCAGAAAAAGCAGTGGAATTCATACAAGACATCATGCATAGGTTTGGCATGCCCAACAGAGTAATCAAGATCTTGGTTCACCATTTACAGCAAGAGAATTCTAATACTGGGCAAAAGATTGTGGAATAGAAATTGATTATGCATCAGTAGCACACCCACAAGCCAATGGACAAGTCGAAAGAGCAAACGGACTCATATTACAAGGCTTAAAACCAAGATTATATGAAGATTTGAAAGATTATGGTGGAAAATGGATTGATGAGCTACCAAAAGTAGTATGGGGTTTAAGAACCCAGATCAGCAGAGCACCCTGGCTACTCACCTTTCTTTTTGGTCTATGGATCAGAGGCAATATTACCAGCCGACTTGATATGGCTATCTCCAAGAATCAAGCAATATGAAGAAGGAGAAGCAGAAGAAACAAGGCGGTTAGAAATTGATTCAATAGAAGAAATAAGAGACGGTGCAATAATCCAAAATGCAAGATATCAGCAAGGACTACGAAGACATTATGACAAAAGTACTCAGCCCCGATCACTAAAGCCAGGGGACTCAGTATTACGACTAATCCAGAAGAAAGATGGATGACACAAACTACTCAGTCCACGGGAAGGACCCTTCATCGTGAAGAACGCAACAGGACCCGGCACATACGAGTTGATGACTCCAAATGAAATACCAGTGAAGAATACTTGGCATATCAGCCAACTCAAAAGATTCTACAATTAGTACAACATATTGTACTCAAGCTTCAAGAGAAATAAAGCAGAAATTCTTCAAGAAGAACGACTTCAGATATAAGCCCTGTCGAACCAACAAACCAACCCGTAATCAGGTTGGGGATAAAAGGAGAATCCCTGTTAACAGCCAACCCGGAAACGGTTGTGCTACATGGGCAATTTTGTCACTCAACCATATGGAGATGGTTTGACTGACGGCCAACGGCCAAATAGCTTCTTGGGTAAGGAGACCCAAGCTAGCATTTGTCACTCTACCATAAAAGAGATGGTACGACTGACAGCCCTATCCAACGGACAGAACCAACCCGTAATCAGGTTGGGGAAAAAGGGGCAGCCCTGCAGACAGCACAACCCGAAACGGTTGTTGCTATACGGGCGCAATCGCTTACCCCAAGAGCTAGTACGATTGCTTATTTACCCTACAAATAGCCAACCCGAAAACGGTTGTGCTATATGGGTCCGATCGCTTACCCCAAGAGCTGGTACGATCGTTTACTACGCCCAACAAGCGGCGCTATCTACAAAAACAACTTGGTCGCCTACCCCAAGAGCGGTACGATCGACTACTTCACCCAACAAGCAGGCATCTACAAATATACAACTCGATCGCCTACCCCAAGACCGGTACGATCGACTACTTCGCCCCAAGATCGGCACAATCAATCCAACAACTCGATCGCCTACCCCAAGAGCGGAACGATCGACTACTTCACCCCAAGAGCGGCACGATCAACAACTCGGTCGCCTACCCTAAGAGAGGAACGATCGACTACTTCACCCCAAGAGCGGCACAATCACTCCAACAACTCGGTCGCCTACCCCAAGAGCGGCACGATCGACTACTTCGCCCCAAGAGCGGCGAAATCAACAAACAACTCGGTCGCCTACCCCAAGAGCGGAACGATTGACTACTTCACCCCAAGAATGAGACAATTAAGCAACTACTCGGCCGCCTACTCAAAGAGAAGTACGACCGACCATTTCGTCCAAAGAGCAGCACAAGCAACAATTACAACTCGGGTGCCTACCCCAAGAAATACTCCGCCCCAAGAATGGGGTAGATCTACAATACAAATCGGTTGATTACCCCAAGAGAAGTATAATCAACTCCTTCAACTCTATTACATCGCCAAGAGGAAACAAGCTATGGCAAAGCACGAAAAAGGCACAAGGAAAGATAGGGCGAGACCTGTCCATATCATTCAAAGACAAATCTGAAGAAAAGAAAGACAGGATGAAGCCTGCTCACATCTTAAAAACTCAGAGACAAAGTATATTACAAGGACATCAGAAGAAAGTTGACTTTTCACATCTGTTCAAGAAGACGGAGGAGAAGGAGGAAGTACATTCATTTGATCAAGAATTTGGTCTGATAGAACACTAAGCTCTACTTTGGCCTCCTCCCACTGTCTTGAAAACTCAGCCGTTACAGAAGCTTCAGTAATCCGCTCAAGAGGGGCATCAGGGGCAACAACCTGGACATATGAAACCACATTATTGATGCATCAGTGAAAGCCACCCTTTACAAAATCATAAAACTGGGAAGAAAGCACCGGTATTATGCCTCCAAGGCCCAGATCTCTGTCTTCTCGCCGACAAACTGAAGTAATGATTGGAGCGACTGCAGCATAAAGAGCCCGGAATTGCTCATGGGCAGCCTTCAACTTCACCTACAGATCTTGAATATATTTTATGGCCTGAACAAGATCAGGATCAGTTCCAGCTCTCATCAATTTCGCCTGAGCAAATAAATCCTGAGCCTCTTGCAGTTTTGAATCAGCAAGGGTACTTACAGATTCAGCATTATTCTTAGAGGTACAGAGGGTATTGACCATCTCCTCCCACTCCTTCATCCAGACCTCTTTATCTCTAACAAGAGCTGAAAGAAAAAGAAAACAACTCAGAAGACAAGAGAAAGAGCCCAAGCAAATATATTAAAAAGCAATGAAAGGGGAGCTCACCAGCTTTCTCCCTCTTCAAATTAGAGCTCTCAGTTTGAGCCTCTGCTACAGCCTTCAGAGAAGAAGCTCGGACAGCATTAGCATCAGCAACCCTGGCATTGAGGGTAATCTCCATAACTCTACGCTGCTCCTTCTCCTGAGCCAGCTCGGCACAAACCCGAACTAACTCGGACTCAACATTCTTCAAGTTGGCCTCAATAAGAGTAGCGAATCGCACCTCTTGAGGACCAAACAAGAGATCCTGATCTTCAACCAAAGACTACAATAAGGAAAAATCTTATGAGAAATAAGAGACAGGGAAGAATGAAAGCAAAGAAGCAAGGAAATTTAGTACATTACCTTGAGCTTGGCGCCATAAGTCTCCCATGAAGAAACCAACTTGGCCAACCGTTCAATTCGGCCAAGCTGAGCCATTTCCTCTCCTGCTCGAGATAGCAGAAGAGTACTCGGCCTAGATGTTGACGGCTGACCAGCATCAGCAGCAGAAGCAGGGGGAGGGTAGTTATCAGAAACCTCACCCACTACCTCATCAACTCGAGCAGCAGCCTCGAGGGAGTCCAACAGAGACGACCCAAGTGGCAGACGAGCAGCAGCAAAAATGCCCGAGGGATTATCCACAACCCAGTGCTCCTCCTGAGAGGACACTAGGGCTTCAACATGTGGCTCAAGAGGAGTAACACGAGGAGGAGAAGCTACAAAAAGCAGAATTATAAGTCTACAAGGATATAGAATACATAAATTATACAAGAGACAGAAAGGCAAGGTAGAACAAGAGCTCACCAATAGTAGATTCTTGTAAAGCTTTTTCAGCCCCAAGGGCTAGAGAAGACGAGGCATCCTCAAAAGGCCTACAATAAAAAAGAACTCGGGTCTATCAAAAACAGAATAAGATATCAAAATGAGAACAACCAGGAGAAAAACTTACTTGATGACCTTCTTAAAATCACCAGCCACCTCCGAGAAAATGAAGTCGGGAAGTGGCACGGAAAACAAATCATCCTCAACCACCTCAAAGGAAGGGATTGGGATGGCCTCCGGGACAGAAGCAGAAGCAATTGTTACATTTGGGACACAAGGAGCCCGTGCACGACTACAGAAAAAAGAACTCAGTCAGAGCAAATCTTACAAAATACAAGGGCACTCGAGAAGTAAAAACTTAAGAACAAAGATTAAGGGGGACTTCATCATCAGTCACCTCCTCATCAACAGCGACAGACTGACCATCTATCAGAAGACAAGAAGAACTCAGATGAATACACAAAAGCAAGACAGAGGCAGAAAACAACTCGAGAAAGGCTTAGCACAAGCTCACCTACGACAATATTACCTGTTGGAGGGTGTTGATGAGTTGAGCATCGCCTCTTGGGCAACGACTGCTTAGAAGCAGCCTCAGTCCGCCGCTTCCTAGATAACAAGATGTATTGAGCAATCCGAGGATCAGGAACATACTCAACATAGGAGTGTTGACCTTCAAATAAGCCAGTAGACAACCTGGTGGAAGAAGAACCTGGCCCGGTGGCAGCAACTACCGCAAGACCAGCAACAGCATCATCATCTTCATCTCCTTCTTCGGCGGGCTCTTCAACGGCAGCCCCACCAGCAACAGCTATCTCGAGCTTAAAAGCTCGGCCAAAACCCTGCGATAAGAGATCAGGCAAAGTCAACAATAGATGCAAATTATAAACATTAAAAAAGAACTCGACGGATCATACACATACCGTAGGAGGAGGATGAGCAGCATCATATTCATCAACCCGGGCAAGCATCACAGAAACACCCCCTAGAATACGCCCCAGACGTTCAAGAATCGTCTCCTCAGTTAGCTCAGCATCAGCAACAAGCCGAGAAGGATCTGAGGGACCAGTATATTCAAAACCATAGTGCACCCTCTGCATAAGAGGCTGCACCCGGTGACGCAAAAAACTAGCAACTATGCAGTTACCAGTTAAGCTCAACTGCTGCAAAACCTTAACTCGGGTGAGTACAGGCTTGAGAGCAGCAGTTTCAGCAGCAGAAAGCTTATCCTTCCAAATAGGAAGAGAACTCGGAGTCACAGAAAGATCAGAAGAAAAAGAAGGAGCCGGTTTTGGGACATCAAACCATTTTTTAGCCCAATCTTTAACAGAATTAGAAAGAGTAAGAGAAGGAAAAGTCACCCCTTGACGGGTTTGGATAAGGCAGCAACCAAAGAAAGGAGGATTCTTGGAATCAGAGAGCCGCATGCGAAAGAAGTAGCGGAAAAGAAGAAGACAAGGAGGAATTCCAAGAAAAACTTCACAAAAATGTGTGAAGGCAGATAGAAAAAGAACCCCGTTTGGGGTAAGATGGTGAACTTGAATCTGATAAGATTCAATAAATTCTAACAAGAAATCAGACGGGGGATAAAAGAGCCCCGCCCGCACAAAAGGAATAAAAAGAACAGATTGATCAGGAGAAGGAGACGGAATCAAATGCTCACCAGGGGAAGAGAAATTAGAAAGAAATTTCTCTTGAATGAGCCCATGGGCAACCAGCAAGTCCAGCTCCGCCTCCTGCGTCGTTGGTTTCAGGAACTGCTTTTGCATCCGCCTCATGGCCATGAACTCAGGATTGTCAATTTGCTTGAGAGTTTTCTCCTCATCAACAAACTCACCCTTGCCCTTGTTCTTCTTCACCATCAATCGAAAGCAAGGGCTAGATGCAGTAGCAGCGGCAGCAAGAGATTTGAGGCGGCGGATGCAATGCTAGGGTTTTCTCAGCAATGAGGATTGAGGAATTTTTCACCGCAAAGGCAAGTGGAGCAACAATAACAGGGCAGTCATTTTTATAAAGGGAAAAATACACGGCCCACACGACCCAAGTGAAACGGTTACCAAAAATTACCATTCCGCAATCAATGGCATGCACAACGGAAAAGGAAAGCAACGGTCCATTCAGATCTCAATGGTTAGATGCCAAAACTGTTAACAAGGAAACAACGCAGAAAAAGGATACAACAAGTCGGTAACAACACTATACCACAGCCAAAGCATACAGATACAGAAAAGAACTCGGACACAGTGGCAGACAACTCGGCCTCCAGCAGAAACCATCTTATTCATTATTTCTTTGACTGGAAGAACATTGAGATTACAACAGAGTACAAGATCTAATAAATTCAACAAAGAAAGCAAAGGAGATCATTCTAGAGTGGCAGCAAAGAACCCAGTGGAATTCGAGGTTGCAACCCTCTGCACCAAGATTCGATATTGCCAAGCAGGATAAAACAACCCGGACGTACTTTTCTCCAAAGGAAAGACGCACATCCAGATTGCTATAGATGGCAGAGGCGGCACCCACAAGTCATCCAAGATTGACAAAAGAACTCGGCACCTCCTCCCAACACGTGCTGATCTACACCGGACTACGCCACAATGGCACAGCAGAAGACAGAACAATGGCTGATCTACAACGGACTGTCGAAGAACAAGCCGGACCACGCGCCAATCATCACTGTAAGGAGAGCAAAAAGGATAGAGGGCAGGCACTTGAACACCAGGCAGCGCAACATGCACCACCTATATCACAAGTCCTACACCATTTGCCTCAATGCCCCTTACAGCTAAATACCACCTCGAGACTAGCCTGCTACTAGTCTCAATCACAAGACCTACACCATTTGCTAACAGAAGGGATAGAACAGAGAGAACAAGCCCGGGGGCTCATCAAGTTCGCAAACTATAATACACATGGTTACAAGAAAATAGAGAGAAGACTACAAGCGGGACAAGAACAAGAAGCATCAGACCGACAAGTATTTATAGAGCAACAACAGGTGCACATACACCAAGTCTAGGAAGAAATAAGATTCTAAAAGGACAATCCTCATGAGTCACAAGGACTACAGTAAAAGTCAGGCATGACCAGACTACCACGAGGAAATAGTACATACCCAGAGCAGTCATAGTACAAGATAAAGCATATCCAAGAGAATATGCCACAACAACAGTACAACCCGTGAGGACATGCATTGAATTCTTCAACAGCCAGATTAACAACAGCAAGGATCGGTCAAAGAAACAACCCGGAACCCAGAAAAGAACCCGTCATCACAAGAAAAGCAAGCATCAAGACAAAACGGAACTGGAGAATACATTCATCTTCTCAATTACAAGGATACAAGATTACACGGTTTACAGAATGACAATAAGAAGGAGTCTCTAAATACCTTGATAAGGAACCCTGTGGAATTCGACCACTACCGAAGACCACAAGTCACAAAATACAAAGATAAAACCAAGGCCACAATAGAATCACCGTGGTAAAGAACAGGAGAACCCTAGTTAATGCCTAGCAGAATAAAAACAACCCAGATACACTACAGCTACAGAAGATGAAGCAAATCCTAGGTTGTGGACAGGGAGACAACCACGTCCTGGACGAGCACGCCGATATGGTCACCTCCAACTCAGGGTCAGCCAGCAGGAGTTAGGTGTAAGCATTGACCGCCAAGAAAGTGGAGCGCACCACATCTCCCAACCCAAGACCAGCAACAGCGACAACCCGAAGATTGAAAGGCAGATAGAGCAAGCATGGAAGCCACATCACAAGAACTCTTCTACCTGCTCCCTCAAACTTCTCAGGAAAATCTCCCCGAGGGATTAGTCTGCTTCTAACCCCTTTCACAAGAACTCTTCTAACTGCCAACGTGAAAGTTATCAAGTATACAAAAGCCCGGGGGCTGCTCAACCTCACACACTAGCATATCTACGAATGAAGAAAGAATTGAAGAAGAAATTTCCAACTCAAGGCAGAACCACAACCAACAAAGAAGGTATTTATAGCAAGCCGGAGGCAAGCAAGGCTAAAGATCACAAGAAAGAAAGAGGGAGCAAAGCAACAAAGGTGAATAGTTCTCAAAAGCAAGATTCCTGACAAAAAGTAAAAGAAGATGCTCAATCATGGGAATATAGAACCCATTCGTGACCAGCAAACGACAAAGACCAAAGGAGTACAAATCAAGAACCTTTTACCGGCTTCTTCTCAACAGAAAAGAACCCGGAGAAGGCTCGGGGGCTGCAAGTACCCACCACAGAAAAGTACATTTTCAATTTTTTGACCCTCCAGCTTTTTGTACCAAAAAACAAGAGGCTCAGGGCTACACTCAATGAGTGCAATTTTTTGCAAAATTACACTCGCTGCACTCGAAGAAAAAGAACTCAGAGGACATCAAGATAGAAAGACCCTCTAGCTTTTTGTGCCAAATAGCAAGAGGCTCAGGGGCTACACTCACTGAGTGCACTTTTTTAGCAAAAGTGTACATCAGCCAAAAGAGGAATCAAAGAAGACCATCTCAAGATTTCACTTCAAGAAGAACTCGGATCAAGTCTACAACAACTCGGCCCTTGAAGCTCAATCATGAAATGCTCGGGGGCTTGTCGATGGGGAACCCTATGGACCCCCCATAGACCATACTATAGGGAAGTGGGCCTTGGTAACAAGGCCCACAGCCCAATCGCCAAGAAGAACACGGAGCAAAGCAACGTGCAAGACCAAAAACTCCAAACTCGGACTATACAAGGAAAGGCGCCCAAAGCATAGCTTAGGACTCTGACCTTGTATCCGAGTAGGACACAAACAACTCCTCTCAGCACCTAGACTATAAAGGGCTGGTGAGGATACCCCTTGTAAACAACGCAACGCATACCCAATACTCAAAGCAATACGACGCAAACAGGCTAACACCAAACTGGACATAAGGTTATTACTCGACCAAGTCAAGGGCCCGAACTAGTATAAATCGTGAGTCTCTTTGCGTAACCGCCGAGTTCCACTATTCGTCGAAGCCCGAACAACTGTCCCGGGTACCCCCGTGGCAGGCTATCGGTGGTAAAACATCGATAGCTGCTCAAAGAGCGTGGTCTCCAGCTGCTCGTCGTCGGCCGGAGGCGAAGAGGTGGAGGCAGCGATCGCGGGAGACGCGGGATCACGCCGCAAGATAACCTCTACGCCCTCCTTGGAGCTTGAGTACGGCCCATCAAAAATATCGGGCATAGGGTTGGTGGCGCTGGCTTCCGGTTGCTCAGCACCGCTCGCGGCACCAAGCGCGGAGCACGCCATAGCACCACGAGACCCGTTGTCTCCGCCGCCAGTAGCCTGCATCTCTTTCGAAGGGGCAGAGGAGCTCTAAACCCCCTCCATCTCGGCGGAGGTGACACCTGCGCTAGCAGCTGAAGACGCAGTCGGCGCAATCAACAAGGCGCTAGTCCTCTTCTTTTTCCTGGCCGGCACCCGGTAGAGGTCGCACCCCTCCTTTTCTTGGACTCCACCCCTGCCGTCGTGTTCTTGGCCGCCGCCCTCTTCTTCTTGGTCTCGATGGCAACCAAGACCTCCACAGGAACCTTGCGCTCCTGGTAGGAGATCCCAAGCTCCTCAAAGACATGGTTGAGCCGCGGCATGGTCCCCGCTGCAAGTCTCCGAGATGTATATTCGTGCTCGGAGACCTTGCCGACCAGCCCAACCGTGGCCTCCTCAACATCGGAGACAAACCCCTCCTTGGTCACCCCTTCTGCCAAAGACTGGCCAAAGCGAGGAAACGGGACACCAGCCTCCGGCCCAAAAACGGGAAGCTTGACAATTTCCAGTCGGAACGCCGGATTGTCTCTGCCCAAGGGCCATTAGTTGGAGCCCATGATCTCCTCCATCAGATCGCGGCCCCTAGAATAGCGGCACACAGCCGCGAAAGCACGATCACACGCCTCCCACGCCGGAGAGATGACCTCCGGTGGGTCCACACGCGTGTGCGGCTTCATCTCGTCCATAGTCGTGGTCAGAGGATATTCCACGACCTCCGACCCATCATCGGTAGTGCAGCGGACCCCGTAGGTCTTCACATAAAACCACTGCTCCAACATGCCACGGTCCCACTTGCCCTTCTGGCAAAAAGATATCTCCATGCGTCCTTCGCCCTGATTCCTCTTCGCCATGAAGGTGAAGCTACCGTACAGGTAGGTCACCTCAACCTCCTTGCCCACCCTCATATCCTTCCCCTTCTTGGGCTGCTTCTGCAGCTCATAATAGGCACAGAAGGTATCGACGTCTGGCTCGGTGCCATAGGAGATGCACGCCCAGCAAAACTTGCTGAGCGTGAGAAAGGTCGTAGGGGTCAAGTGGTGAAGTTGAACGTTGAACGTCTCCAACACCCGGCAGAGAAAGGGGATGTTGGGAAAGCGAGGCCGTAGGTGAAGAAGTCCCGAAACACCAC